CATTCCTTGCACAATCTCCCTTATCTCCATTAAGGGAGTATCCACACCACTGCTGGACTGATTAACCTCTATGAACAGGTATTCTATTCATATGTATGCAAAGGCCACAAGAAAGCAGAAGCAGCCACAAACAAGATAAAGTGACCATGTCTTTACATTGCTGCATTATAATCAGAGTTCACAATAAATTCCTTGCTGAGTAAACATAACAGGCTACAGCCACACGGTGGGGCAAAGTGACAATAGCACCACATGACTTCAGTGACTGGCTCGGAAGCAGTCCCAGTGAAAATTGATGACAGCAGCAGCAATAGATTATTCCGAGCAACCAGGAGGTTGTATCTCAAGTTACATGTTGTGCTTCAAAATGCTCTTCAAACCACATTTTAAAGCTCTGAGCAACACATTTCTACTTTAACCATGTTTGGGGTTGGCAGTAGAAAACACAGAACCTTAGCAGAGGAAACAGGACTATATATCTCTCAGATTATGTGACAATATACAGTTTTATTTTTGAATGGGACAAACTGACAATTTATGAAAAACAGAGAGCTGTAGTCAAGGAATGGGGCATTGTACAAGGCTCAAACTATCTTGTAAGATCTGTACAAACACATGACATGACTGAGGAGTTTCTCAGTGTTTTAAAGCAGGAAAAAAGGATGCCAAACATTTTCTCTGTCAACAAACAAAAATATCTAGCTAATGGAGAATGGGCATAGAGGAAGCCTCACACACATGATAAGGCCATGATGCTGACAGGGTCTGTTTCAAGAGAAAACGCTGCTGGTTAAGCCTTTAAGTCTGCAGCCAAAGTAAATGGACAACAGCATAGTTCTTAACTGTGAACAGATGTTTAGATTCTGATTTCAGCCCTGTAGAGCTGTTTGCCAAGATTTTAAAAAACTATTTATTGCTTGTGTTTTGTGGCTTTACTTGTGTGTATGGAGTCAAAACACCCATCTGCTTTATATGTAAACAAATAAATGAATAAATGGACCACATAGTCATAATCAGTGCAAAGTAATTAAGTACATTTACTTAAGTGCTGTACTTAAGCACAATTTTGAGATATCTGTACTTAAGTATTTTTATCTTGCTCTACTTGTACTTCACTACATTGTAGAGGCAAATATTGTACTTTTTACTCCACTACATTTATCTTAACTTTAGTTACTAGTTACTTTTCAAAACCAGAGTAATACAAAAAATACAGTATAATCATAAGACATTATTGATATCCGGTGGAAAATTCACAAACTACCCAGCAGTATGTAAACTCTCCCAGTTTGGGGGTCACAGCCCCCAATGTTCCTATTACCATGTGTGCCTTCACCTTCCACATCTTTTCTAGCTCTTCTTTCAGCCCTTGGTATTTCTCAAGCTTCTCATGTTCCTTCTTCCTGATGTTGCTATCACTTGGGATTGCTACATCTATCACTACGGCCTTCTTCTTCTGTTTGTCCCCCACTACTAGGATTAGTGCCTCTGTGCTGTCTTTCAGTACAACTTTTTTGATATCAGACACTCCTCCTATCTGACGGTGGTACATACCGTGCAGAGGTTTGCCCTTCCATGAGGGTTCCTGCTCTTCCTTCCCTTGTTCCTCTGGTTTCTGCTGCCTGAGGTGTTCACTAAGCACGTCATCACTCAGGGCCATCTTCCTGATGTATTCATGGATCTTTGTTGTTTCATCCTGGATAGTGGCTCTGACACTCACTAATCCTCAGCCTCCTTCCTTCCGCTTAGTGTACAGTCTCAGGATGCTGGACTTGAGGTGAAACCTGCTGTGCATTGTAAGGAGCTTCCTTGTCTTGATGTCAGTGGCCTCTATCTCCTCCTTTGGCCTGCTTATTATGCCAGTGAGGTACCTTAGTGGTGAGTGGTGTGGGGGCTCCACAGGGTACTGTGCTCTCCCCTTTCTTGTTCACCCTGTATACCTCAGTTTTTCAGTATAGCTCGGAGTCATGTCATTTACAGAAGTACTCCGATGACTCTGTGGTGGTGGGGTGTTTAAGGGGTGGGCAGGAGGGGGAATACAGGAGGCTGGTGGATGAGTTTGTGGAGTGGTCTGGACAGAATCATTTGCTGCTTAACCTGGACAAGACCAAAGAGATGGTAATCGACTTCAGGAGGAAGGGAACTGCTCTGCTCCACAGCCCCTCTCCATTTTGGGGAGGGATGTGGAGATGGTGCAGGAGTACAAATACTTGGGTGTGACTATCGACAACTGTCTGAATTGGAAAACAAACAGCACATCTGTGTATAAGAAGGCCCGCAGCAGACTCTATTTTTTAAGGAAGCTGAGGTCCTTCAATGTGTGCAATAAGATGCTGGAAATGTTCTATCGGTCTGTCGTTGCTAGTGCCTTGTACTCCTCAGTGGTTTGCTGGGGGAGTAGTATTGCAGCCAGGGACTCCGATAGATTTAACAGGCTAATTAGGAGGGCTGGCTCTGTCATTGGCTGTGAACAAGAATCATTTGAGGCAGTGATGGAGAGGAGAACACTAAACAAGCTGTTATCAATTATGGATAACCCGGACCATCCTCTCCGATTTGTGCTTGATAGACAGCGGAGCTCCTTCTCTAAAAGATTTAGACAGCTTCGTTGCTGTAAAGCACATTATAGGAAATCTTTCCTGCCTTACTCCATTAATTTGTACAACACATCATCTTGGAGCATTAGACGATTCCTGGATTGAGAGTAATTGTATACTGAATCTGCTTTGTATAGATTTGCATATGTTTCATTCATCATGTGATTATGTATATGTACTTGATTGTGTTGGGTTTGTTTTTAACTTTTAACGTATGCAATTTCCCAGATTGGGATTAATAAAGTATTTCTATCTATCTATCTATCTATCTTATGACCGGCAGGGTGTATGCGTTAATCGCCCAGACTTTGCTCTTTCCATTCAGGACTTGCCTTACTCTCTGCAGATATTTGGTAGTTGCTACTTTCCTTGCAGTATAGAGGAAGTCTAACACACATGACAAGGCAATGATGCTGACAGGGTCAGTTTCAGGAGAGAACGCTGCTGGTTAAAACTTTAAATCTGCAGCCAAAGTAGACAGTACAACAGTGTAGATGTTAGAACATCTGCCTTAAGAACATTCAGCCTTGTAGAGCTGTTTGCCAAGATTTTTTTAAAAACAATTCAGTTTAATTGTGTGTTTGGAGTGCTTTATATGTAAACAAATAAATGACACAGTCATTATCAGTGGTGGAAAGTAATTAAGTACATTTACTCAAGGACTGCACTCTTCTGTTCCTGGAATCTGTTGGAGCCACTCTCCCAGTTTGGGGGTCACAGCCTTGATGTTGACTTGTGCAATTGGCTTGAAGTTGGCCTCTAGGGTTGTTTTCCACATTCCCATTGAGTTGTTGATGAAGGTTCTTGATCTTGGCCTCCAGCCTCCTTCTCCATGGAGGATACTGCTCCTTATGGCCTTGGTTGAACTTATAGCCAAGCATCTCAAGGATCATGGTTACTGTGGTGTATATCAGCTTATTGGTCTCAGTGATGATCATGGTAGGGATTGTTCGTAGTGCTGCATTCACATCCTCTAGTAGACTTTCAGAAAGCACTTCACTTAGTCTTGGTTCTAGGTGTCTATCTTGGTCATGATCTTCAGTCTCAGATCAGCTGCTCTTGCATTAAACTCATCTGGGCTTGTTATTATTGTTATTCTACAGCTACATCATCGAGAGCATCTTGACCAGCTGCATCACTGTCTGGTATGGCAGCACAACTGCTATCGACCGCAGGCACCTTCAGAGATTGGTAAAGACTGCGGAGAAGACCACCAGGACTCCACTGCCCTCTCTGCAGAGCATTTACCACTGCAGGGTGTGGAGGAGAGCTGCCTCCATCCTCAAAGATCCCACCCACCCCCAACACGAACTGTTCATGCCCCTACCCTCTGGCTGGAGGTTCAGAAGTGTGAAATGCAGGACCTCCAGACTGAAAAACTCTTTCTTTCCCTCTGCCATCAGACTCCTAAACAGCTGAGGAGTTTATTACCAGGAAATACGTGATGTACTGACAACCTACCTGTCCTGTTTACATTCTCAGTACATAATTGCACATTGATTGTTGACTACTGCACATACAGCTCCCATGCAGCATACATTCTCTTATTATATTCTTATATATTTTTATTATATTGCTGCATTTGCTGCTTAAAGTGTCTTAAATTTAGTGTTACTTATTTATCTGCTTTATATTTCATTTGTATTGTGTGGCATTCATGTGGATGGCAAAGTAAGAATTTCTTTGTACAGGGAAACGGGTTTCCTAACTGGGCATATGACAAATAAACACTTTGACCTTGACTATTGGGGCTTGGTACCCAATCTCTGATTGTGGGGATGATGGTGATGATAATGGTGATGATGATATCTCCTCCCTGACCTGTTGTTCTGGCTCCCTCTTGCTGTAGCAAATTCACAGAATTTGAAATTTATTTAAAGTTAAGGTTGTATACAGTGTATTTTGTATGTTAGGCTATGCATAAACAAACAACAATGTACATATGCAGTATACATCCATGTATTATGTCTGGTGTCAGTCAGACCCCTGTTAGATCTCTTATAAACAAATAGAAAACATCATCAAAGTGCATATTCAACAATGTTTAATAGCTGAAGTGTTTCAGACCTCAAACAGAATGTCAAACGCCCCCAACTGCCCAAAATATGTAAGTCGAGATAAAAGCAAAAGTTTATGAGACAGCAGGGTTTCATGGAGTAAGTCTTTCTTAAAAGAGATAACCTTTCCCTCCACCACTCATCATTTAGAATATCTGCTACAGAAAAAGGAGGAAGACAAATGTACATTCTGGTGAACTGACTTGTAGCCTATAAAGTAATATGACTTGAAAACCCCCTTGCTGTCGCCTTGAAGCTTGACACATTCCCCATATGAAGTCATTGCGGACTGGCTGCTATTTTTTACAGAGAACATAACAGAACCTCTCCAGTTTGCTCTGTTTTTTGACATAACTGATTAGCTCGGCGGTAAAGCTCTTATCACATGGGCGCAAAGCTGCTGCCACCCAGAGCCGATAATCCTTAGTCTATACGCGTTATGGACAGTGAAACGCACAGCCTGCTGCTCTGGACATCGATACACCCACTAGGCTACAGTAACAGCACTTGCTTGCAATGCTTTTTTTTTGCCGTGGAGTGAACAAAGGCGTGTCCTTGGACCATGTATGTAATAGTCAGACTCGCAGCGACAGGCTTTTGCACTCCAGTCGTCAGCTCTTTGTGCACCGGCAGACTCAGCCTCTCCACGATGGCCGAACACTCTGAACAAATAGTATTCGACAAGCCAAAGGTAGGTTTCCCAGCGGTACACTGTAGCCTGGCCTGTGTTATAATTTAAATGGAAAAGTGGTGAATTATTGGCGGCCGCACTTTTCCTCGCTTTACGCACGTTATGACTGACACTGAATATTGTTAGAGTTCCCGTGAAAAAGACGAGGAATGGCTGAATAAAAACAGAAATGAAGTAGCCTGTTGCTTTATAAAACATTAGTTACTATGCTCTGGGTTTGTCTGGTGCCCGTGTTAAAACAAGGAAAAACACAGCCAGTGCTTGCAGTCAGAGGTGTGACAACCCGAGTATTCATTCAAGACGTAACCAGCAGTAGCATTGTGATGAATGACACGAGCTTTTCATAGCTTTTTTTCAGTTGAGCAAGTTCATACAGTGCATGAGGGATGTACAGAATCACTTTTAATTCATCCATGTGGCTGGTGTTCTCCTGGTTCACACACTGCTATAGAAGTACAGGAATCATTTTCAGCATTTTGCATTACTTTGCAAAATAGTTTACTGGTGTTTTTAACAGCTGGTAGAGATAACTGACTTACATAACAGAGCCTTAAAGTGAAATGAACCTTTAAGTGTAGTTTGACATGCATATCAGGCACAAAGTGATAAGGTGTTCATGTATACATGCGCCTGAATATGCATATCTAGTCTGAGCTGATAAGAACTGAGGAAATGATTGGTTCAATGAAGGAGAAACGGAAACACATATATGACAGAGAGAAAGCAATGTGGGCTTTCTGTTGCCACGCAAGGTGTATGTGAGTAAGAGATCATGAACTGTAAAAGGAGAGCCCACCAGGAGGGGCAGCTGCTCCAAGTTTGTCTCATTAAATATTAATTTGTTGTAGTAGAATTGATAAGGTCATTGTCTACTGCAGTAACCTTGACTGATTCACCATCCATGCTTCAAATGCTGACACTGGGCACAGTACAGGAGCTACAGGATTATTACAGTGTGTGAACATTTAAGAAGTGGAGGGCCTCTGAATTTTAGTTGGGCTACAGCTAATGAGTACTTTTTCTTGATTAAATAACTTAATTGATTAATATTTTGGCCTAAAATGTTAAGAAATGGTCGAAACCTGATGTGACATCTTCAGAAGTCTGTTTTCTGTCTGAGCAACAGTTAAAAAAATCTACTTGCAGTTATGTAAAACAGAGACAAGCTGCAAAATAAACTCATAAATAATCAGAGTAGTTGCAGCTGAGACAAACAGCTTTCTGTTAATGACTGCACTTCTAATTTTTAGTTAGACTAAATAGATTATCTGCTTTTATTGAGTTTCTATTCTGGTTTTTGGTTCAGATGAATATGATGTACATTATTAAAGGGTAAATAAAGCTAAATCTGACAGGAGCATATCATTCCTATTGATGATTAATTTAAGAATTATTTCCTTGATAAACTGATTGGTTTACAGAATAGTGAAAATGTCCTTCACAAGTCTCCAAATGCACTGATTAATGGGTTAAATGACAAACTGACTCAGGTAAAACATCAGTATTGGTGACGAGATTGTCAGATACAGTTCCCATTTTGTTCAGATCATATCTAGAAGGCAGGAGCTATGTTGTTTCCACTGGTGATCTTAAACCTGAGGGAATTACCATGACATATGGAGTTCCCCAGGGTTTGATTCTTGGACCACTGCTATTCAACCTCTATGTCCTCCCTGTGGGTCAGATCATACATAGCAATAACATTGCTTATCACAGTTAAGCAGATGACACTCAGTTTTTACTTATTTTTGTAACCAAGTGACTGTGGTCCCTTATGACATAATTCCACTGCCACCAGTACTCAGGCCAGCTCTCTGACTGTTGGCCTGGGCTGCCTGGCCCCAATATGTGTTTGTGTTTCCATTGCACTTGCAGCATTGCTCATGCAGAGCACATATCTGTGATGTTTTCTGCGTGACCACAGCAGACATCAACAACAGGCATGCAACAGAGCAAACATAGATTTGGCAAACATAGCTGCTGCATGGGCTTTCATTTATTTCTTCATAATATGTTGCCATCTCCTTGTTTCTTTCTTCTTTTTTTTAAGATGGTGGGTCTCCTTCATCAACACTTCCCATTGTTCAGGTTTTCTCTGTCAGTCAGAATGTAGTGATGTAAAAGGCCAGGTTGGGGGTGGTGTAGTGCACTCTGGGACCTACCTCTGAGCCATATATCACACTTTTCAGCCTGGTATCAGCATGGCATGGTCTGCTTATGAGACAACTGAAGCACAAAAACCCTGGTACAGTGTGTGGGACAGTCCCTGGTGGCAGTGGAATGATGACATTAGATCGACTCTGTCAGTGTAAATACCTGGATGCAGTTAAATTTCCTTCAATTAAATAAATACAAGACTGCAGCTATTTTTTTGACAAGAAGAAGAAAAGGATGGGAGTTACTGATCAGCTTGATTCCAGAGCTATAAAAACAAAAACTGAAGATAGAGCTGTCATCTGTGATTGGTTAAATGTTAGCGGCTTCACACTTGAACAATTAGCATTCCAAGCACAGTGTGCTTCAGTGAGTGGACCGTGGTCAAAGTGGTGGAGAAGATACAATTCTGCAGGTTTGTGTTCTACACAGTAAAATGCGGTGAAAAAGCAAAGTAGGTAGGTTCCTGTCAACCCCTGAGGTTATGCCAGGTGACAGTTAAGGGAAGCAGGGGGTATAACGCTTGTTAGGTTCCAAAAGTGGAAACGTAACCTTCGCCTCACACAGATGGAACCAGCTTCCTGATGATCTTAAATGTGCTCCAACTATAACTGCTTTCAAGTCTCAACTGAAAACTGCTGGTTGTCTGTGCCTTTGACTGACTGGTTTCTAGTTTTCCCTGTTCCTTTTGGGGAAACTTACAGCTAATTATTGCACTGTAGTTTGATTTTGGTCATCTGTTATTGTTGACTATTTATCTTTAATTTTATGTATTTTAATACATTTTAATGTTTTTTGCCTTAATTGGTTTTATTTTGATTTAATGCTTATTGTTCATATTGTTATTAGTTTTTTTTTTTTGGCTTATGTAAAGTACTCTGATTAAAACTGCCTAAGGTCTAAGGTGATATTTTCAGATGTCATTTTATCCATCCTATGGTCCAGAACCCAAAGCTCTTAAATTTACTCTCACATAAAACAACTTGAACTCAACCAGTCAAATTCAAGGCAGTGGGACAAACATGAGGTGACAGTGACCACCAAAATCTAATCTGCTCATCCTTGAGTCCAAGCGGATGTTTGCGCCTCACTTGAAGAAATTCCCTCAAGACGTTCCTGTTATACCACATTCACAAGAATGGGCCGGACAGATGGATGGACAACTCAAAAACATAACCCCTCTGGCCACAGCTATCGCCGGGACGGAGGCATGCAAATGCAAAAAGTCCTCAAGTTAATAGGACTGGTTCTACTAATGATTATTTTTATTTCTAATAATGTGGAGAATGTTTTCTTGATTAATTGATTAATAACTTTATCTTTAAAATGTGAGAAGATAGTGATAAGTCCAAGATAATAAATCCTTACATTCGAGAGGCTGCAACAAGAGACTGGATGGTGATTTACAGGAAATGGGACTTGAATGTTTAATCAGTAACCCAGAAAGCTGCTGTAGATAGACTAAATGGTGTATGATCTCATGTAGAGCTTTTCTATGCATTGAAGCACACTCAAAGCACTTTACACTATCTCCCATTCATACGCACACACAGGTGGCACAGCCACCAGGAGCACCTTTGGGTTCACTGACTGGAGAAGCCAAGTTTTGAACCTCTAAACCCCGGTTAGGAGACGGCCTGCTCCACCTCCTGAGCCGCAGCCACAAAAATACCATAATCAATCAATAATCATTTCAGCAACAGTCTTCCTGTATTTCTGGCTGCTTTCAGTGCACTTCCGTTTTGTTCATCTGAACAGCATTAAAGGATCATTTTTAATGAGCCAGTGCACTGATAGAATCTAAAATGTTGCAATGCTGAGTTCAACACTGTGCCTTTCAAACAAGAGATGAGAACTTCCTATATTTTGTGGCTTTACAGAATTATGTAAGAGTGTTTGTGTGGGTGTTGATCACTTAATAATCTGTTTTATACAGCGATGGTAAGTATTACTATATACATCTTTAATCGGTCAACGAGGTTGTTTCAGAACTGCATACCGCTGGATTGCTGAAATGCAGATTCAGATTAGGCCCATTATAAACACCGCTGGCTTATATAAATCACCACAGGAAGTGCAGTGTATACTGAAAGAACCAGGATTTCCCAACACTGCAGATGGGTTAACCAGCTGTCCCCTGTCAGCAAGCACGAGCACTGACACATCAATAAAATAGTCACTGTTTCAGTAATATACATTACTTCTTGTTTTTCAGTAGCAACATCAGATCTCGAGATATTTTCTATACAAATATGGACACAGCTGTGTAGCATGGGCATGGTTTTGTTTACAGAAAATCGTAGCCCTGCAACTAACAGACCTGACAGATTAACAGGTTATTACATGTTATTTTCTTGTTCAGTCCGTTATTCATGTGACCCACACATCATCATTAAAGTCTGTGCAGATTCTCTGTCATCCAGGTCATAGTAAACTGAAAAAACCTTAGAAAAAATCAACTGGACTTGGATTTCTAGATCGAAGATGTTTCACCTCTCATCCAAGAGGCTTCATCAAACGTTTTTTCAGATCATCATTAAAGAGACACTGAATTTCCAGATGATCTCTCCAGGTCCATGGCTGCACCTTTAAACGTTTTGTACTGAACCAGCAAAACCCAGGGATGTTCAGTTCTCAGTTAGAGAAAACATAAGCAAATCCTGATGTTTGTGGAGCTGGAAGAAGTTTTGTTTTTGTTACTAAACAATCAATTATCAGAGTTGTCGACTGAATCATCAGTGTCATCAGAATATCATTAACTGGAATATTTTTGGATGGTTGTTCTGACAAAGCACAACATGTAAAGACTTCATCTGGGATTCTTGGAAACTGACAGTCATTGATTTTATTCATCAAATAATTATTTTTATTACTGAGTAATCTTCGAGTAGCTTCATGTTCTTTTAATCTAATGATGCCTTTGTCAGTATTGTCATAAAATGGTGAAAAACACCGTTCATGATGGTGATGCTATTAAAAAGTCTGGATTTGTACAACCAACAGTCAAAAAAAGAAACAGTAGATATTCAGATTAATATCATGTATGACAAACAAAACAAGTAACTCTTCTTATTTCAGTGTTTTGTAATCTTGGTTAAAGATGCCTGACAATTATTTGATTATCAAAGTTTTTCCCAGATAATTTTTGGCTGCTCAGCTTAGGGTTAGGGTGGTGCAGTGGCTCGTGCTGTTGCCTCGTAACAAAAAGGTTCTAGGTTCAAGCCCAGACCTGAGGCTTTTCTGTATGGAGCTTGCATGTTCTCTCTGGTTATGGATGGCTGGCATTGAATTATTGGCTAAACATTTTTGGCGTTGTCATAATGTAGCAGGACTATTTGGTTTATTGACAGTTTGTGGTAAGGCAGTAAACATTTTAAGCTAATACTTTTAAAGAATGTCAAGTTTCTTTAGTATTTATTGCAGTTATGAGATCTAAGGTAACAGAGTAGAAAGATTAGTGTCTAAAAAGGAACATAAGCCAGGGACACGCTGTACTGGCCTATGGGTCATTTAACACCACAAGTCAACAATGGTACACTTTGATTCAGAACATTTAACCCAAAGATTGTTGAAGTAAACACTGAGCTGAACTTGTTTTGAGCTTTAGTCATTGCTGGTCATGGATAAAAATCTTTCACTATAATTTAAGGGCTGTGGTAAGGAGGAAAGAATCTAAACAGATACTGCTGCTTCACTTTTTAGAACCACATGCAGCATCTCTACTTCTGTATCTTTTGAGAAGGCTTGAGCAAAGTTAATGAAGTTTGAAGCTGTTTCATTGCCACCGAAGGATGTGGTTGAATTTTTTTTTTTTTTTGATACACAGAATAGGTCTGTACTCTAAAATTTTATATGGTAATTTTTATTAATTGTGGTTGATTTTGATGTGGAGTATTTTCTCCATAAATTCCCCTCAGTGCTGCCTGTGACCTTTACCTCACTTTCAAATCCATCCTTCAACAGATGTTGATGATATCATACTTTCTTTTATTTTCACAAAATGTTACGCTTTGAATCTTTCCTCTTTAACTTGAGACGGATCCAGAATTTTCATGGGTGAAGGCAAGAAGTTAAAACAGCTTGGGGGATTTCAGAGAAACAGCTGAATGAAGCTCTGCAGTGGTCATGCACAGTTTTTAAAGCCCCTAAAATCTTCAGCATTTCTATAGATTATTAAACATTCATGACTAAATAAACAAAGTTGCCTCAATGAAGTCTCTAATTCAGGATTTATTTATTTTATTTGAAAAAATGAAGCTTGTTTCTGGAGTTTACTTTTCTTATTCTACAAGAAGCCAACTTCACTTTAACAAAGTTAAACAGTATTTAATTTGCGGGCACAGTGATTTTACATTTTCATTCATGTGTAGAATATGAGGGCACTATAAAGTGGATATAATTATGCACTCAGAATCTGGACAGTCAAAATGGGGTAAATGTACATTCTGATTCAAATGGTGCTAAATGCTGATTGGTGCATGGGAGTACATGACATCATCTTTTTCAGTTTAGCCCTGTCCACCTGCAAGAAGAGCACAGAGAAAACCGTAAACACACAAATAACCAATGCTGTTCTAAATCTGACAGAAAATGTGTTTTATTTAGAATCTCATTGCTCATAGAAAGACTGATTTAGAAGATAAGACCTGTGAATCTTCGAGGTGGCTTTCCAAGACAGAAGAACTTAGAATATGATCTAGAATAAGATGAAAAAAGATGAAACCTCTGTTGTGGAAAATCAAGGTCAGTGCAAAGGCAGACGCCTTCATTTAGGCAGACTTTTATAACCGTGCTCATTGTTGTCGCTCCCAAACTGAGGGTAGAGTTAAATGTCATTGGTTTGGAATCTCACCGACTGCTCTAGGCATAGTTTCAGCCTTGGCTGGCTTGGCCGGAGATTTATAGGCATTGTCTGCCAGGATAAATCACATCTCTCTGTAATGGAAGGAGAGCCCAGAACACTAGGTCTTCTCTGACCTTTCTCTGGCACTGCTGGTCTTTCCACCACTGCACTGATCTACAACAATACAGTCACTACTCTCCATTTCTTAAACACTGCTGGGTATCTGACATGCTTCAGTTCTTCTGTTCTAAATGGCATGGCACTGCCCAGTCAGACGGGGATGTATGGCAATATCCACTTGCATGAAAATAATTTATTTTGATTGACATGCTTTATTATCATGTATCTTTGTCATCCACAGGTTGAACTGCATGTGCACCTTGATGGAGCCATCAGGGTGCAGACTATTCTTGATGTTGCCAAGTAAGTTAGTTTACATTTCATTTTATTAGAATTCTTAGGCAGTGACTTTAGATGTTCTGTGTTTGTACTGAGACTCAGACAGATGTTTAGACAGATAAGACAGGGAAATGTTAATGTTCCCCAGTTTTGTTGATTACCTGTACTTGTGATTATTGGCTGGTAGTAACAAGAAACTGTAATAGAGAAATACATAATACAAAGGGGTTGGCACCAGGGGTTAGTGCAACATGCTTTAAACAACATTATGAGCTTATGGACTTTGGCGAACATGCTAGCAAGCTGTTGCTTATTTACACATTCAGCAGATATGGAGCCACATTAGCACTGGGATCGTTTCTGTTCTACTGGATTAATGTACTGTCCATCTAATAAGGATTCTTCTTCTAGCTCTGCTTTGTTCCATGCCAGCCCCTGAAGGAAAAGTATCTGGCTCTTTAGCTGCTGAATGCTTCACTATGTTCACTAGCTAGTGGCTAACTCTGTCTGCTATTTGGTACAGTAGTGTGCAGCATAGTGTACAAGGCAACAAAAGGCTCCATAGAGCTGTAGGGAACCGCAGGGACCGGTGATAATTCTTTGTGGGGTTGTCATTATGAGTGGCTCCTTTCACAGTGCATATAGTCATCAAGTGTCAGCAGGGCTCTAAAGTAAAAATCTGTATGTACATTTTCAGAATAGAATATAACACTAGGCTAAATAAATCCTGGCATAGTTTCAGAAGCTGCTTTTATTTGAATTTTTTTCATTAATAATTCAGCTGACAAGTCAATAGTTCAGTCAAACAACAGTCCACAGTTTAACTTTTCTTTTAAGAAAGCAGAGCAAATCAGGGAAAGTAAAAACTGAAACCAAGTACTAGTTTAAATTTTAGCGGTGTCCTTGAACTGGTCGTGTTCACTCTCTTCTCCTTCCAGGAGACGCAACATCACGCTGCCAGCAGATACTGCAAGCGAGATGGCTCAGCATATTGTTGTCCATCAGCCGGCCACCCTCACTGAGTTCCTGGACAAGTTCTCTAAATACATGCATGTGGTTGCGTAAGTGCTGACATGTCACCTTTATTGATTCATCTTCATAATTACCAAGGTGTTTTCTTGCTGTGCAGGTTACAGGGAGTGCAAAGCGATTAAGAGTCAGGGTCCATCTTATTAATGGTACAGAAATATTTACGAGGGAAGTCAAAGTCCAGGCACACAGATTATTATCACACACGTGCATTTACTACAGTTATGAAGTATCCAAAGTCTCTGTGTAGTCACAGTTTACTTTGTGATTGATGGTACTGGGAAATTTACGCAATGTAATTATAGGGGAGGGGGGTATTTTAAATGCCAGACATGCACAACAGGAACACATTACTATCCAGATCAAGCATTGCCATGGCAACCAAACCAAGAGGAGAGTAAAGTTATTCAGGGACCCTTTTCGGTATCACTCCAGTGACAGGGCTGAACTATTTAGAAAAGACCAAATACAGTCTTTCAGATACTCAAAGGCTGCAAAGCTTTCAGCAGTGATGTCCCATATAGCTGTACTGCAACATGTGGTTCTGTGCAGAGAAGGGATAATGAGACGATGCTGGAGAACAACAGCTATTCATGCCTGTGCGATGAGCTTCTGCTTTCAATGTAAATGCTGGAACCAATGTTGGTTACGTGATGCAGAACAAATGTGCTGCCGAGTCTAAAGCACAGTGGGAAATGAAGCTGTGGTTCTCCTAGTATGTTCATAATACTGCTCTGTATTGTTTGCTTGTATTGTATTGCACAATTATACAGGCAAGGCAGACAAATGTTTTTGGTTAGGGACTGTATGAAAATGACTGTGGTTATGCAGTGAGGCTGAATGAAGAATTTCATTTCATAAAAACAAATTTCAATATGTTGGCCAACACATATAGATACAGTTTGTATTTATATCTTTTGATTATGATATAATAAGTATATTAATGGTTTTGAATTGTAGGCTAAACAATAACAGTCAGTATGTTCAATTTAAATATTCACTACAGCAAGCCACATAAAAGTCCACTTCCACATTATTGCAAGAAATGATATCTTTTAATAATCGTTTAATTTAGCTGCTCAAAAATGAACATAGCAACATTCCACAAGTTATAACATACGTAGAAGTGAATACTGTCCAAAAAAACATGTTACGGATGTACGGTAAGAAAGCCGTGCGCTTCCAGAGCCCTTCAGAGTCTTGCTCAAAAACAAACTAAGCCGGGGAGTAGCGTGACTCTCTTAAAGCCACAATACACAATTAAGAACATTACTGAACACTATAGTAATGACCATTATTCCAAAAATCAAATAATGACTGGTCAATATTAACATTAATTTTTCAATTTTTTATACCTTTAACCACTTCAACATACAGTCTAAATTAACTGTTCAATAAATATATACAAATGGAACTGCACAACTCGAATTTCACAATTGTGTTTTTTGGTCTTTACAATGTTAATAAATAAATATCTTAAATAAAATGAAGCAGTTGATAATGGTCATATAGTAAATGCATGTAATATAGCCTGTAAGTCATTATATCATATCATCATCAGTGTGTAACTTTATGTTGTATTGACTCATTTTGATAGCCAGCACAGTTGAGAAGATGTGTTAGCCATTGGTAATGGTATTATTTTTTATTACTGAAATAATATTAGCAGCCAAAGCCTAATGTCATCCATTCTGTGTTTTGCCTTGTTCTTTTTCAGTGGAGACAGAGAAGCCATAAAAAGGATAGCCTATGAGTTTGTTGAGGACAAAGCAAAGGAGGGAGTCATTTACGTTGAGGTCAGATATAGCCCACATTTACTGGCTAACACTGAAGTGGATCCCATACCGTGGAACCAGGAAGAGTAAGTCTGTATCTGAATGGCTGCAGCCTTTGGTGAACCCCATGTTGTGCTTTTAGGGAAGGCTATATTGGCTGATTATATGTTGTCATTTTTACTGTTCATTCTTTACGTAGAGGTGACGTGAGCCCAGACGACGTGGTGCACCTGGTTAACCAAGGCCTTAGTGAGGGGGAGAGGGCCTTCAAAATCAAAGCCAGGTCCATTCTATGCTGCATGCGCCACATGCCAAGTAATGACCTGTTCATGCTCCTGTCTGCCAAAACAACCTTGTGAGCTAAGGTTTCTTACTGTATGTCAAAGCTCTGCCTCTGTCATTCTTGTTAGATAATGAGCAGGAGCACCACCACAGGAAATCACAATATGATATAAAATATAATTATGAAGTCTTGTTGTGCTTATGATCATCTGCCTGTTGTGACTGAAAGTCATGTATCTCCAAATGTGGTGATCTAAATGTGGTGAACCGAAGGATTAAGTGGTTTTTCATGGGATGATGACAGTGCTAACAAGCTTGTATTTAGCAGGTGTTTACCATGGCCCCTATCTTAGTTTAGTATGCATGTTAATAATTAGCATTAAACACAAAGTATGGCTGAGCCTCATAGGAATGACACTAGTTGTGCAGGTTTGTGGTGATAGATCTGAGTAATAATAATAAAGATTTATTTATATAGCATTTTACAACTCTGGGGAGCACAAAGTGCTGCACAATACAAAATATGTATCAACTAAAAAACAATACTAGAACAATAAACCTAAGCAAAAATAAAACACAAATTTCCAAAATCAGAGCAATAAAAACTTCCATCAAGATACAAGTATTGGAAAGAATGATATCTGACCTGATGATGGCAGTAAGTAAAAAGTCAGGGGAGGCATGAGACTTTATTTTGAGAAGAGCTTGAATATCTGTACTAAATTCCACTGCTGCTAGTGGTCTGCGATGGTTCACTAAACGCCAACATCAACCAATTGGAGCACCAGAGGAAGAGTCAAGGTATCACCAAAGTAATTACAACTCCAAATCAGAAAAATTAGGGACGGTATGTAAAATCAAAATTGAAAACTGAAAATAGTGATGTGTATATCATTCGTACCCTGTATTACATTGAAAGCAATCCAGCAGCACATTATTTGATGTGATACCTCATCAGTTTTATTCTTTGTTCAAAATAAAAAGCCACTTCAATTCCGATGCTGCAACACATTCCAAAAAAAGTTGTGACAGTAAAGCGTTTACCACATTGTGATGTTCCTTATCACTTGAAAGACATTTAGGCACTGAGGACACCAAGTGATTAAATGTGTCAGGTGACATTTTGTCCCATTCTTCCTGCAAACAAGTCTTAAAGTGTGCAACAGTCCTGGGTCTCCGTTGACGCAATTTGCGTTTCAAAATGCAACACACATGCTCTATTGGGGAGAGGTCAGGATTGCAGACAGGCCAGTCCAGCACTCACATCCTTTTCTCCACTGCCAGGCCTTGATGATGTGCAGTATGAGGTTTTGCATTGTCTTGTTGAAATATGTATGGGCGTCCCTGGAAGAGATGTCATATTGAAGGCAGCATATGTTGCTCCAAAATCTCTCTGTATTCAGCATTAATGGAGCATCACAGAAGTGTAAGTGACCTTTGCCAACTACGTATTGTAGTGCCTGACACAGGTGTGCCAAAGTAATCCTGAGCCCATGTGGTTATATCACTTATAGAAGATGACGATTTTTGATGCAGTGCCGTCTGAGGGATCAGAGAGCTCAGTCATCCAGCTGAGGCTTGTGCCCTTTACGCACTGAAATCCCTCCAGATTCCTTGAATCTTTTAATGATATTCTGCACTGTAGCGGGTGACATGTCCAAATCCCTTCCTATCTTTCTTTGAGGAACATTGTTTTTAAACAATTCAATAACTTTCTCACACATATGTTGGCAAACTGGTGGTCCTCGGCACATCTTTGCTTGCAGGTATCAGAATTGAAGTGAATGTTTATTTTGAACAAAGAATAAAATTGATGAGACATCATATCAGACAATGTGTTGGCTGTATTGCTTTCTATGTAATACAGGGCACCGATGATTTACACATCACCATTTTCAGTTTTAAATTAGTTTTACAAACTGTCCCAACTTTTTCTTTGGGGTTGTAGAAGGCCTATTCATCCTCTGGGGACCATGAATGTCTGTAAGGAATTTCATGCCAGTTGTCCACCATGACCCCTGGCATCACTAACAAATCCACTAGATTACCTAAACATGCATTATCACTGTTTTCCTTAGCTCATGAAAAGTTGATGATTTGGAGATACATTGATTTCACACTACAGTGCTAATGAGTGCTACAGTATATTAGCACACTAGAATATATATATGTGCTATGTTAGGAAAAAGATAATCACAGGATAATAATGATAATCACCTTTATTGGCCAAGTATGTTGCACACAAGGAATTTGTTTCCGGTACAGAACCGAGGCAGCCATCTGTGGCACCAACTCAACTGAGTTGTGCAACTCAACAAAACAGAGTTGCACAACCTGTAGTGTAGTATTGAAACAGTATGCATCCTAATGCTTCAGTGCTGTATCTAATATCCACCTCTATGTAAATTAAGCTAAACAAAATCACGTCATGATTGTGAAAGCTGTGTGGTGATCTGGAATGGTGTCATATTTGTGTAACTGTTTTGGTTTTGTAACAGTGTTTTATGTTTCCATTCATTAACAAAAGTCCGGATGTGATGCAGCAAATTAAAGGAAGTTTTTGACATTTGGGGAAATACACTTGTTCCCATTCTTGCCAAGAGTCAACCAGAAACACTGATATGTTTGTATTGCTAATATAAAGCTAATGGTGATGGTTAGCTTAGCTTAGCATAGCATAAAGATTGGGAAAAGTGGGAAACAGCTAGACTGTCCAACATCAACAAAATGCCTACCTCTTGAAAAGAAGGTGAATAAGCACATAAGAATGCCAAATTAGCCCATTAAGAATGTGTCCTCTTTACTGTCAGCCACACAAATGCAGTTTCTATCACACACTGGTCAGTCCTGTCATGGCTATAGTGATGCAGATGGATTGAGCTAATGTTTAGACTGTCATCACATTTCATTTACATGTCATCTGCATGTGTGTGTGTTTGAGCTGGCAGGACCACACGGTGTAGTAATACGTGTGTTTTAAATTCTCTAGGCTGGTCTATGGATGTTGTGGAGCTATGTAAGAAATATAGCCAAGAGGGAGTGGTGGCCATCGATCTGGCAGGTGATGAGTCACGCAACTGTGAAGCTAATCCTGGTCACAGGATGGCCTATGAGGTGAGTGTTCAATATGAAGCCAGATGCCACAGTCTGTAACACTGAACCTAAGACTTGAAAGGTAAAAAAAAAACACATTTCAAATTTGCAAAATATGGTTTTAAAACTGAAATGTAGGCTTCAAACGTTTGAAAATAAGAGTTGAATGTCTTAAATAATGCTTCATTTTTTCAATATTACAAACTGGTGTTTTCAAAGTTTTGAGACTTGCTTTGCAAACATTCAGCACCCTCCTTTCAGAGATTCATCTTAGGTTTTTTAGAAGTTGACCACTGTCTTGTCAGAGTTTCACACTGGCACCTTCTGACACAATTTTAACAGGGGAAACAGGGATAGGCCCAGATGGCATCCAGGGGAGGAACAATGCTGACTTTGGTTATATTGTAGCACCACCAGCTGGTTGGAGTTTTCACTTGTCCAGTTAAATGTCTCAACATATTCCAGTTAAACTGGCACAAAATGTTGTACATTCCTGGTTCCCAGATTATGATTTTACTAACTGGTGCTTTCATGGCTTTTCACCTGCCATCCTCTGACCAAAATGTTATTTTGTACAATACTGTGGTTTATAACCAAACCACTGCAAAACTAATGGCATCCCCATCAGCCTCAACTCTACTTAATGGTAATCAGTAAATAATAGCATGTACAAACACACTTGGTGGTGAGCATGACAAACATGTTAACATTGTCAGTGACCATCTGACATTAACATGTTAACATTGTCAGTGACCATCTGACATTAACATGTTAACATTGTCAGACATTAACATGTTAACACATTAACATGTTAACATTGTCAGTGATCATCTGACATTAACATGTTAACATTGTCAGTGATCATCTGACATTAACATAGCTAAATGTAGTAGTACCGCTGTGCTAACTTCAGCCACACAGAGCCCCTAACATGGCTGTAGCGCAGGGCTGCCCAATACGTCGATCGTGATCGACCAGTTGATTGCAAAGGTAGTGTCGGTAGATCTCGTGTCAATATAATCAGCTTAGTTCATGCTTTCAAATGAAAAATGCAATATTTTGTGGAACTTCCAAAACCTCGCATCAGAGCTGGAGGCACAACGGAAAGCATGTGCGCAACTTGACATTGCGCGCTACACAAAGCAGATTGACAACTGTCGGTCAGAGTTTGACAAACGCTTTCAAGACTTTGCCTCACTCCAGCCCATCTCTACATTTATGTGCTACCCATTTATGGAAGATATTGAGGTTGATTCACTCGCATCAAAAATTTAAACGCTGTTTCACCTGAACTGGTCTGGAGTGGAGGATGAGATAATGACACTACAGACTGACATTCAGCTGAAGTCCAGGGCTAATGGACCGTTTTAGAACTTTAGATGTCTGGACTACATTACTCTGATCACTTGCACTGAATGGAAACTAATGACCAAAAAAGTACTGAACTGTAGTGTGCCTTAAGGTTCATGCAGTTATGCAAGGTGTGCCAACATATATTGTGTTTACATAAGGTATAAATAAATATATGTTTAGTATTTTAACTGTAGGTAGATCATTTTGACTTGGTCGTTTGAAAAGTAGCTTGCAAGGCGAAAAAGTGCGGGCACCCCCTGCTGTAGAGTCTTAGTCGTTTTAATGATTAATGTAACGTGCTGCTCTCCTATATACCCGCATTAATCACTGTTCACTGTTAAAGTGGTGATACTATTACTGTGACTTAGCAAAGGATACTGGAGTCAGCTTGCTAGCCTGCTGGCCCGGCTGTGTGCAACAGGAACTGTGTCTGACAGACAGATGTTTTTCACTGCCGTCTCAAACCAATGATGTCATTATCTGTAACCAACACAGTATGGGAGTAAAGCCTAATACTATCAAAACAATTTCCTCTTAAACTCTGAAGCTTGTCAGAAAAATCTAGTTTGGTTCTTAAGCTATTATCGATGGATTGATTGATTGATTAACTCAGAGTATACCACAGTAAGCAATCAGTTTCCCTCTAAGACAAAGTCAGCATTAATGCTTCATTTGATCACAGACCCAGGGCAAGCAGCCATCTTCCCTCTAAAACAAACAGTTTACATGTGTGCAAAAACCTGTCCAAATGATAAAAGGCACCTTGGCAGATGTTGCAGCATGTGAAAGCCACATGTTTGGCTGCTGATGTGTTCTATGATTGTGTTTGTTGACAGGAAGCACTGCATTGTGGCATCCACAGGACAGTTCATGCAGGAGAGGTGGGCCCGGCATCTGTGGTGAAGGAGGTAAGCCTCTCACCAGCAATGTGAGACATTTCTGAGAACTGAAGTGCCCTCAATGTGCAGCTCAGTGGAACATGCAACACCAACTAAGCAAGACAATGAGGCCACACGCTAACAGTGGAAATGACTAAACTGGCTACTGGGCCAGGTTAGCCATTAAAAAAACAAGGAAGAAGAAGAGAGTTTTGTTTGTTGTTAGCCAGTTAAGTGTTTAAGTCGGTGAATAAACAGATTGGGAGTGCCTTTAAATTACAGAGGGCTTAATTGTACTTATTTGAACGTTGAGTATTTTGCATCCACAGCAACAAATGTGCAAAGGATTACACAAACACATACTTGCACTGTGATTGTTTTTGACCATTTGTATCCATCTCAGCTGCCATGTCTCAGACTTTAGTTTACACATTAAAGCATTATTTCACTGCACTGTGTGTGCCAAAATAAAGCGGTCGCTCTCAGAGCAAGCCATCTTTCATAGCGACAGTTCGGCTATTTTCATGAGTTGTGAGTGTACTTCTAGAAATAGCCTCCAGATTCTTCTGACATGTGCAAGATTTTCTTGTGGTTCACACCCTTCTGCATTCTTCCTTGTGACTGTTGTGTGATACTTTAGGCTGTGGAAGTATTGAAAGCTGAACGTATTGGACATGGTTACAGAACCCTGGAAGACCAGACCCTGTACAAAAAACTGCTGGCTCTAAAGATGCACTTTGAGGTAAGGAACTATCCAAACGGGGTCACCACTTTCATTAAAAGACTGCATCACCAGCAACATTAATATATGGTTGCATTTGAAATGCAAATATGCAGAAATGTGCATGTGGGCCTGTTATCTAATCTATTAAATGTCTTGTACTTTGTTTATCAGTTCACACTGATAATTGTGATCATTACAGATGGAAAGTGGGGTTGATTTATTAGGTAATTACAGTCTGCCTTTGTTACAGCACCAAGTGACAGTTCCACACAGCGATACACTGACTCCTAGTGGAGACAGAGAAAACTGTTTTTTTTTTTTTTTTTTTTTTATTGCTGCCTGTGCTGGTCTGATTCTAGGTGTGTCCTGTTTCCAGTAAGCTGACGAGTGCCTGCAACGCAGACTTCACCAAGCATCCTGTCATCACGTGAGCTGCTCTTGTTTGACATGGCAGTCTGGTAGTTAACCTGCATTAAAGTCAGTGTGGGCACAGACTCATTTTGATTGGATGTTATCACCTCCTCTGTGCAGGTTGATGAAGGACAAAGCTAACTACTCCCTGAACACAGACGACCCTCTAATCTTCAACTCAACCCTGCACCTTGACTACAGCATAGCACAAAAATACATGGGATTTACTGAGGAGGAATTTAAACGACTGGTGAGATGAAATGCATGAATGATAGCAGTAGTTCACAGCTGAGAGACATCATGTCCTGTCCCACTTTCACTTGATTCATCAGACAGCGTGTAAAATCTTAATTGATGCACCTTTAGACCTAACCTGTCATGGTGTTATGGATTTTGCCGTCCTTAAATGATGGAGTAAGGTACGTTGAATAAGAGCTGACAGTGGTGATTTAGTACTGTATAGTCAGTCCAGTGTCAAGATTCATTGTTAATGATTCATCGCCATTGTACTAAAGGTAAAGTTGGTGTGGCTAAGTTAATCTGAGAGGCTGTTTGCTGTAGTGCCATATTTACCATATATTAAGTATGATGGTATCATGTAACTTGTGGCAAGAATAAGCACATTTCTCACACTAAAAGTGAACTAGTGAATGAAAAGTACACCTTACTGACTTCATGTATCCTGTAGAACATCTGTGCTGCGAAGTCAAGTTTCCTGCCTGAGGATGAGAAGAAAGAGCTCCTCCACACTCTGTACGAGGCCTATGGGATGATCAAGACAACCGCCTTTTAAACCCGGAGAAGGTCTGAAGAGAAAATGTGATCTAAACCAGGGACAAATTGCTTTGAACTCTTATTCTACTCAAATGGCAGAGTGGAATGTGTTTTTAGTCATATGTAACCAGACATAAAGCCTATAATCATATGGCTGTTGCTTTCATCTCATACACCTTTACATCATCAGCTTGAGGGCTTGTGTTTTGTCTGTATTCCATCTAAGTACTTACATACCTTTAATAGTTTACTGTACAGTCCCACAGGATGCCAAGGTGCTCTTCAAGAGACAAGAAAGTGTTTTGCGTACAAGAAGCAAAACTCTGCATACATTTTTGTGTTTACATCCATAAAGAGGATCAGGGAAACTTTGGAATGCACAGTTACTCAATACTCATGAATTAACAGTTTTAACTCTCCATCAAAGCTCAAACATTAAGCTAAGTAGTAAAGTGCAAAAGCATATGTTGAAGGGTAAATTAAAGCTGTGCAGGACAAGGACTTACTACCTATGGGGGAAAGGTGGTTTACTGTGAAATTACATTGTTTTAAAGGTGAAATAAGAGAATTCAGTGTCAAACTCAAGTGTTTTTTGCCCTTTGCATAGAAAATAGGACACATAGGTGCTCACAGCTCAATACCAAAAGCCTAGTATTACATTTGAACACTAGGGGGCAGCCTGCTGCCACCTAGATGGACAAACCACTAAGTTAACTTGAGGTGGTACTGCATTTGATAATTGCTTTTTAAATTCTTTTGATGTATATATTTACTTTTTTCCATTTAGCTAAATAAAAAAGACTTTCATTTATAACTGCTACATTTATAATACTTATGAAAAAATATTTGACCATAATAAAAGCTTTGAGACACTTCTGCATGGCAGACTATTTCTTTATGTTGATTACCTGCAAGCACAGTAACAAAATATTTTTCTATGTCATCCTTTGTATACATATATCTCCATTATAAATAAAGTCACCTCAGTACAGACTGCTAAAACTCTACAAAGCTTTGCAGTTAAACTGCTGTGGCTTTATTGTATAAAGAGATAGATGGGAACACTGAGTCCATGCTAGGTGGAAATGTCAACACTGGCTTCCTGTGGCCACCCTAATGTACACACATGCTGCATTCAATAATATTTATGGCTCAACTCACTAAACCTGGTTGGCTGGGACTCGCTACTTTCACAGCTCCAATACCTGCTGTGCTTCAGTTTTTCCAAGTACAGCGGAAACCTGCTTCGTGTGAAACGTTAATAACATAAAATACAAATGTCACAGTAATTCATAAGTATTTTATTACACAAAGAAAATTTGCTATCACAAAGTTATCACTGAACATTTAGCAATAAATATGAAGTCCGTACACGACAGTATAATGGCGACTATGTTTGTTACTAAAAAAGAAAAGACTTGACAGTGAAACTGAACTAGAGGTTCACAAACACACACACAGAAAGAAAATGACAAACAGATGATTATGAATACGCCCTCCATGCCACTTCCATTTTAGGCTGGAACAATGTTTTGAGTGTTGTTACAAATGAATGCAGTTCAGTTCAGTCCGTCTCAACAGACAACCCAAAGTTTCTGTGCTTTCTTGTCTCATCAGGAAAATAAACGACTTGCAGAGAAGCAAAAGAGCAGCATCTCAGCAGTCTGTTCCGTTCCACCTGTGATAATCTGATCCAATAAAAAGGCAAACATTCAAGGTCATTAATGCTCCAAACAGGCCTGCAGTGAGCGAAGGTGTCCTCGTGTCCACCTAGGACAACCGATATAACCTTTCCTTTCCTCACGAGTCTCTTCTTTCATCTGCTTCTTCTCTTCTTTGCCCTCCTCGGCTCTGCCCCCCTTTTGGCCTCTGGCCGAGTTTAGGACGGGCCTCCACTTCCCTGGGCATCTTGGCTGGTGGAGCCCTCTGCCTCAGGGGCTGGTGAGGCCCCTGGGTCTCCTTCTGGAGGAAAACATGGGAAACAGTACACACAAAAAATCTGTCAAAGTGGTTTGGCAAAAGAACTGCTTTTAGGGTTCAGAAAGAAAAGCATCTTATGAGAATCCTGAAGAAGGAACTACAACCTCCCGTGCCAGGACACTGTCAGCATTATTTCTAAATCGGAAGTCTCCCACCAGATCAGCAGTAGAGCAGTTTGATTCATAGCAGTCAAACTGGTTATCATGTCATGGGAAACTTGTCTGACTGAAAAGGAAGTCAGCAAGAACAACAATGTAACACACAATGGTTAGACTGGAGAACGCTTGCGTCATATTCAGACCGATTCCTCCTAACAACCTGACACTCCACCAAAAGGAAGCAAGGACTACCGGTCATTGAGCTCTCATTACAGCTCAGCCAACAGCATCAAATCTCACTGACACCAGCGTGTAATCAATACTACCTGTCTGTATCTCAGTGCATTCAAGTGGAGGGGACTTTCTCACAGACTTTGAAAACTCAGTTTCTTTTATCAATGCCTGCAGACTTCACACTGACTTTGCACCAAGCTGTCTATTTCCAGAACCAGTGGATTAATTTACCATGAATTCTTGGTAAATTAAGACTTTTTCAAACCCAGTCAGCTCCATTCACTTCAGCTCTCTGGAGGAATTCAACAGTTATAAGACTTCTTCTAGCATCATAATAAAGCCATCCAGCGTAGACCTGTGGCAGGCCTGAGATGCAGTGGCTTCTGAACAAGGCAGAGCTCAGTACCTCTACAGCTCATCAGACTCACTGCTGTACATTTCCAACAGGTTAGTGTGGCCTTTACAAACTCTTTGGCTACTCATTACTCACCCCACAACACTGTTAGAGAGCCACAAATTATGAGCCACATCTTGCCTTTATGTCATTTGGCGCCAATGGTCAGAAAGTGTCACTGACTGTTACCACGGAGACAAGGGTCTTCATTCAGCATTAGGGTAACTAATGTTTTTACACTTAAAATAAGTCACTTTCAAATATAAATTTTTTTTTTAAATACCTTGGGGTAAATGATACGAGTTGTCACTAGTCATGAGAGTAGCAGTGGCAGTAGCAATGGCATTAGCTGAAGAATTTCAACACCTGATTCTTCCTCGACTCTCCCTATCACATTATCAGACCCAGACTTTGTCTGACTGGAGCTTCACAGCTTAACAGGTTTTACTATTATTCACAGAACTGTAGCACAAAATTAAAGAGGACTAACACTACAAAGCAGTCTAAAATGTAGGATGCATTTTTCTTCTGCCCTCACACTGTATTACACAGCAAATGTTAGTTTACTGACCTGCAGCCTTCAGGTCCATCTCTTGGAGCTCTTTGGTGAGTTCACTGGTGCTGGCCACTACTGCCCCCTCCCCTGAGATGTCGGGCACTGCGTTCCTGCGGCCTGTGCGATCACAGTTGATGAAGTCCGAGTACGACGTCTCTACATCCATCATCTGTCCATGACCAGCGCTCTCATTACACCTGCCAGAGGGAGTAGGGGGTGTCAGATCGCTGTGGAGGTGTTGCAAAAGCACATAAATCAACCTGCTGTCTGCAGGGCCTGTGGGAGGACGTTATGCTGTGCTGGGCATCTTCAAAAGAATCCACATCATACACATGAAAACTGGCAAAAAAAAAAAAAAAAAAAAAGCAAAAGTCACAGAGTACAGAGCTATTTAAGGGTGACCAGTGCATACAGAGAGTGGGCAACTCAGAAGCATTTCCACAATTGAGAGGCCAGCAGCTGAGAGTTAATAAAAGTGAAGGTATTAATAACTGCCATTTCTATTCCTGCACAGCGATTAATGGCACTGCCGACATCTGTGCTAATTGGTCGTCCTAATTAAATCTGGAAAAACAAAAATCTGCTTTGAATCTCTCAGGGCTCTCACTTGCATAGTCACATCCCTCCACTATTTAGTCCATTTATTCATCCTAAAGGCACTTACGCAGCAAGGACTTAAACAAAAAGAACTGATCAATATGGAAAGCCAGAGTGAAACCATTCAAAGGACAAGCTTAGGCGGGGCCAGAACAAGCCCCAGCAAAAAAAAAAAAAGTAAAAAAGAAAACGCCCATTAGCCATTCATTCCTCCTCAGTTTCCTGTTCTCAGTCCATATTTAACTAGGTCATGGATCCTGCCAACCGCTGAGACACTATACAGCTGGTAGAAAAAAATCTAACTGCTCCAAAAAGAAAAGAAAAAAAGAACAGAAACAATAACAAAGTAGCTGTAGCAAGCCATCCTCTGATGGAAAGAGAGAGGCACCGGACCAGACAGTACACGTTGTTACAACTGCTCTTCTCCTACTGCTTCTGTCCCTGGACATCCCCTAGACAGCAAAGACCTCACTGCTGTGGATGGCTAGTGCAACCGACTACATCATAGCTGCAGACCTACCCACTAATAAAGCATGTAAGGCTTCAGCCTGACAGATCAGCTAAGCCATGAATCTCTAAGAAACACTGGAGGGTCACAGTCTTGAAGGGAACCCGGAGAAAGAATGAGAGCAACAAAAACATGCTGGCAGTTACGACACAGTGACTCAGGGCCAGTCTGCTCCCAAACACTTTTGCTCCCTTTCTTTTAGGATCATTCAGAAGATCACACTATTGCTTTCTTCCTCTTATGTACAGTATGTGTGCCAAAACCGAGAGTGCAGGGTCGGCCCCCCAAAACATTTTTTGGGAATGCAAAGTTTGTAGTGAAGGGTGATCTTTGAGCTCCTGTAGTAAGAGCAGTACCTCAGGAAACATCACCGAGTTCTGGGCTGCTGGCTCTTCCCTCAGTGCTCCTACCAACAGCCCCCAGGTACACCCGGCGGTGGGATCCTCTGACAGATCTTCATCTAGAAAGCCAGGCTGTGCAATCATTAGTGAGCCAAATCACAGCGGGAGGCCAGTTCCTCGCAGGTTCATCATTATACCTTCTACCTTTCCCATGAACATAAGCAGAGACTTTCACTAACTACTAATTAGAGCTGAACGATCAGAGGAAACTGATTTTTTTCTGACCAGTGTGGCAACAGTCATTTAAACTGTATTCGTTGTCTACATAGACCAAAATAAAAACCATCACAAACCTGTTTGTACATTATCAGACAAAAATCACACAGTTGCTTGTTCTCAGACTCCTCCCAGGATACTTTTTATTTTTCAAACCAGTCAGTTAAAGAAAACTAGTATACTTGACATTACTAAACACCATTCAGATATAATTATGATACTGAAAAATACCCATTTATTGCTAACAGCTGCATAGTTGGCCAGTCAGCTTGTGGTAACAATGACAGGCTGATGGTTAACCTCTCATCTTTGACATCTGACCGACAGCGCCTAAGGATACTGTTTAGAGCTCAAACAACTGGTCAAATTATTGTTTGATTAGCTCATAAACATTAAAATAATCAGCACTAGCAACTGCTTTCTCTCTCTCTCTCACACTCGCTAGTTGAGCCACAAAGGAGGGGCCAACTTTGAATGGTGTGCACAAAAAGCAACCAAACTCATTCATTCCTAACTTGACATGTGACTGGTTGGCTCCCACTGGTCGCGTAAAAGGGAGGAGTGGATTTAGGGCAGGCAGTTAAATTTGGGCACAAAGGAATGAAAAGGAACAGCTCTCCAGTACAACTCAGATCCCTTCGTTCCTACCAAAGATTCAGATTTGTTGCAAATGTAACATCCCTATCAGCAATTATAATACATGGAAATCTGTTTTTATAATAAATACAGTAAAACTACATTATCAATTGCAAGGTCACCTGCAATGCCTTCCCAGACCACCAGGTGGCCATGGACCACTGGATGGAAACCCCTGGCTTATGTCACTTCTATAACATTATTGGACTCAAAAGGGACAGGTAAAATGTTTCTAAGTCACTGCAAATGTACCACAGATGTCACCGTTTTATTCCACACATTCATCTTTCTTCTCAAAACCCGGGGCAGAAATGTTAGCAGCTGGACTCAAACCGCAGACATCGTACACACACTGTACATGGTGTACTGCTGTAACCATTTGGCTGTCAGGATGCCCAGTTCACCTCTTTGTAACTCCATATTTTCAAAGTTGTGGTCTTTAGACCCAATCAACGCTGACTCAACACTAACTACGTTTCTGTGATGTGTTACCTTTGCCTTTTTCTACTCCACTGGCCCAGTTGTTATGCAGCTTAACTGCCATTCGTTTGTTTAATTAGTCAGCTCGCCTACACATTTAGATCGAATCCTGCCATGAGATCATTACCGGTCTCCAAGGAAGGATGATTATGATGGTGATGATGTTCTGCCTACTGCTCATCAGCATGCGTTTACACTCTTCTCCATCTGAATGCCTGGTCTCAGCTTTGGTGCATTTTAAAAACATTTTAGCCCTGATATCCACAAAACTCAGTGTGATAAAGAATTTGTTTTTGACTGACCGACTGACGCAGTGCAGGTCACTGCTCGCCTACTGTGATTTGTATAATGCAAATGGACATGTAAAGTGACTCGGAAGCAGATGATCTGTAAAAGACACCTGCTGATCTTCTGAGTGGCCCAACTAAATGCATCTCCTCTTCAAGTTAAGAGCAATAAAATACACATTCACCATCTTGGGCTTCAGCTAATAAATCTTTTCATTCTACACAAATTATTTCTGAGTAACTGTTTAGCTTATATGGCTACATGTTAGAAAATTGTGTAAATGTCTATCAAACATTCCCAAAGCCCAAGATCATGTCTTTAAATATGCTTAAAAATGAACTGTATCCATTTTACATGGATATAATTCAGAAAAGAGCAATAAATCAGAGTGTTTGCTTGATAAATGACACAAATGAATCAATATTTACACTGTCACTGTCATTTTGACTCTACCAGGCTAACAGTTTAATGATTTTGTTCATTCCACTGCCACCAGGAACTACCTGGTACCCATACCGGACAAGGGCTTGCATGTCTCGATTCCATGTATGACTGCTCTGGACGCACAGAAGACGGTATGATCATGTACTCTGCAAGAGCAGCGCTCACGCTGTGCAGTGGAGCCACAAAGGGGTATTGGGGCCAGGCAGCCCACTGGCCTGGTGGCAATGGAATGATGGCAAAAATGGTCTTGCTAAATGGCACACACACTTGTGTCTAAGTAATATTTTTGACCTATTACACTGATGTGATGCCAGCCTTGCACCATTCATACCTTTTTCAATGTCAACATTCTCCCCACACTCCAGAAATGACTTTCAGTGCTCTTAAAGTGAATGTCCCAGTTCAGTAAAAAGGGGCTTTATGTGAAAGGACGGAAACTCAATGCAGCTGCAACTGAAACACTACCACAAGACCAATGTCACAGGTGTTATTGTCACTCGAGACAACAACAACTCAATCCTCAAAGGGAAATCACTGCAGCTTGGCTCATGAGCTGAACTCAGCTTAGCCCCATTCCCTTTGCCTTTCTCCTTCCTGCTCTGCACTCTCTCAACAATGTTATTTCAGGAAATCGTTCTCATTCAAAATCTGCTTACTCTTTTATTCTGGGGGGAAAAAAGGAGCTACATTATCCTATCTACTGTATGACAGCAAGGGTTAAAAAAGAGAGCTTTCCTTCCTGACAGGCCTGAACACGAACAGTGACCACAGTGGGTGAGGTGACATGTAACAGGAGAGCTTCTGGCATGGAGAGATTAGAAACAAAAGCCTTTGAGAAATCACCGAGGGTATATGAGTCAACACAACCACACTGAGCCCATTAGAAAGGCAGGCTCACTGCTATCCCACAGGAACCTTTTAAGCCTTATTCGTGTAATAAACTCACATTATCTGCAATAACCCACACATGGACTGGCTTCTTTGCCGTTTTTTTTTTATGTCCATTAGGTCCGTCCACATGACACATTTCAAGTCTGTCAACTAATGCCGCTGCATTTATTTAACAAGGCAAAAAGTATCATCTGCCTGTGTTAGAAACTCAACTTTTCCAAGGGCCATGAATAATTAAAGAACGACTTTTAAGTTTGCTTTGATATGGTAAAAAAAAAAAAAAAAAAAAAAAGGACCGAGAGGTAAGTAAGTCTGGCAGACTGACAGATACTCTTAAAGTAAGCTGGTTTTAAAAGTTCAAATGTGTGGCTTTAATTTTTTTTTCTTTATGTAACAGTAAAATTTATATCTTTGGGTTCTGGGCTGTTGGCTGGACAAAACTGGGTATTTCAGGTTTTCTCACACGATCAACTCATCAGAAAAATAAACTACAGATGAATCAGTACTAAAACAGTTTTCCAGAGTCCAGGGTGGTATCTTTGTTTTGTCTGATTAACAATCAGACAATTCAGTTTCAGGAGATAATCCTGGAAAGCTGGACCCAAAATATTGGCTGATTAATTTTCTGCCAATTGACTAACCACATAATGGACAGAAATAATTAAAACCACAAAATCCTCCAGCTTTTTAAATATAAGAAAGGGCTCGTTATCAACTTGAGGTATAAAATGGAGAC